TATTATTTATAGCACTAGCAATCAACATGTAATGAAGAGATGGTGTGAAGAGCAGCGAAACTGCTACAGCCCATAGCCGAAGATGAACAACTAAAAGGATAAGCATTTAAAAAAGTAGTAATAACTGGAGGATAAGAAGCCTGCAGCCGTTTTTTTGTTAAAGTAGATGTGCTTACCTGACATAAAATGTTACAACAACTCTTAAGACTCGGTTCTGTCTGCCAAACTTATTTGCCATTTTCCAAGAGCTGCCTTTTCCCGAGCGATGTTGCTCGCCGCAGCGGCGTGTTGGAGCCAGGGCTCAGCCCCACGAGATGGCACTGTGTCCACGCAATCCAGGCGGAGGGACCGCTGCTGGATTTTCTCCCATCAAAAATAATATCCCGAGCGGATCTGGCCACCCTTGTTTCCCACCCTCCCTCCTTGGGGCTGCAGGATGTGGATTCTGAGGAGTGTGCACCACCAGCCTGGCCCAGAGCCCTCTCCCCAGCCGTGTGCCCTGCCAGCACGGTACCCCCAGAAAAAAGAAAAAACTGTGAGCAAAACCAATGCAGGGGGAGTGTCAAGTGAGGTGGGAACTGCTGTGAGCAGCGGTGGCAAAACACGAGCGGAGAGCTGCTGGGATGAGGTGTGGCTCTGCAGAGGAAACGTCCCTGGCACCTTCTCCCTGCCCTGCCAGGGCTGGGGCAGCTTGCACGGTGGGACCCTGCGAAAGCTGATGGAGCAGGGGACGGAGAAACCATCCAGCCTGTGATCGCAGTGGGCGAGGGCAGGTTTCTGAGCAGTCAGGATGGAAGAAGAGCAGCTCCACCTCCTAACGATGGTGATGCTGATGCCCTAGTGATGTTCTTGACCACCATCCACCTCTGTGGATGCTTCTCTTAACCAGAGCATGCCTTTTCCTCTCAATAAATCCCCCTTACAGTGACGCTGTAAAAGTAAAATGCGACAGAATATTTTAAGAAAGTTGCTCATCTGTTTTTCTTGAAGGAGGCATCGGGGGGTCAAAAAGCTAGCAAAAGGAGCATCAACTCGTAGCGATACTGATAACTATGAGACACTTTCTGGCAAGGCCCCGGTGAGAAGTGTGCACACGCTGCCCACCTAGCAAAAGCCGAGAGGCGGGAGCACCAGTGAGCCTGGGCACCAACTAACAAAGACTGAGCCGAAGAGGGGAAGGGGCCAAAGGACAGTTCAGCTCATGCACCTGCCTTGGAAGAGGAGTCGCGCGGGAAGGGGGAAGAAACACGAACTAAGTACAACTGGTTATACCAGATGGCACAGGAGGGAGAAAAGCTGAGACCTGTCTTTTAAGAGCCATTTTAGAGCTCCAAGGTGAGTAAAAAATATAGGGAAAAGGCAGGGCTGGAAGTCCCAGTCGAAGCCTCCTGAAGCTGAAAGCAAGATTTCCATTAGCATTGCAATGGGCTGCATCAGATGCCCAAGGTGAAAAAGAAGATGGTTGGTTGTGGAAAGGATGCCATTGGCATCTCCACATTCAGAGAAGGTGGGGTTTACGCAGGCAAAACGCAGACAGATGTTGAAAGTTAAAATGTATGTCCTCTGGCCTCCGGTTTTGACTGAAGTGCTGGTTTGCAAACTGCCGGGTTATCTCTTACGAGGAAGGGAGTGCTTTGTGATCACTGCCCAGTGGTCAATCAAAACCCTGCTGGTGTCAGGGAGCTGAGAAATTAAAACCAAAAAGTCCCAAGCCTATGGAAATGTCAAATGGGAAAATGGTCAGATGAAATTTTCCTTTCATTTTGACCAATGACATTTGCAAAGTTACCTTTAAAGGCGCAATCTGGAAAGCCTTGGGGAAAAGCAAAACCAAAAACACAAAAGAAAACAAAACGACTCCAGTCTCGGGAAGGAGATGAAGCGGGAATACGTGCGTGGAGAGGGGCATGCGTGTGTGCACAACAGCAATAACCAGGGCCTGGCTGGAAACCTGGAGCAGATGGGCTGGGAAAGAAAGCCTTCTTTGCACCAGAACGAGAGGCCAGACAAGCCTGGCAGTAAAACTACTGTGATCCTATGCGCTGCCATGTACCAAAGAGTCAGTCTTTTCACTGAGCAGAAAATAAAATATGTTTGCAGTGACAACTAAAAAATCAAGAGTTCGCTTCTTTTGCCAAGTTTCCACTTCACCTGTTTGTGGTGGCCAAGAGGGACGTGGCCACCGGTCAGGCAGTGAGGACCTGCTCCGCCCTGCCCAGGTGGCGGAGGGAGCGCAGCGCAGGCAGCAAACTGCGGTACACGGGATTTCAACTTCAGCACTCCACTGCCCTACGCGGGCCCATGCAGCAGAGGCTTCCCTGGCTGCAGCAAGCTCGGGAAGAGCAGCAGAGATCCGCCGAGTGCATCTCACCCAGAAATGACCCAGAAGATGACTCCCAGTAGCCTGACCATCGCAAACATTATGGGAGGAGGTGGGTTTTGGTAAGAGTGAGTACCTGCGGCTTCGTGGGAAGCTAACGGGAGCTGCTGGCTCTCAGACTGCTTCAAAGCAAAGCAAGACCTTCGGTGGAAGCCCACCTTGGACACACAAATCAGGTGGTCAACGTCAGTGCCTCCACATGCTTGCACCCGTGCTCCTGAACCAGCGGGCGACGTGTATTTGGACTGGGAGGCCATCACTGGTTCACAGCCACCTCGGGACAGGATTGCTTCTTGGAGCAACCTGGAGGCACCAAGGTGGTGCAAAACATCCCAGGGAGGGGTGCTGGGTTGGATCCTTTGCGGGTGCAGATCAGTGACTTCAGCGGAGTGTCACCAGTTTATACCACCTCTGCACTGGGCATGAAGCACAGCGATGCTAACACGAGGTGAGCAACCCTTGTGGGCTAGCAGAGGACTTTGGAGGAGGAGTACGATGGCTGGAGAAGGGAAGGACAGACAGCATGTAGAGGGATGTGTCTTAGAAGACCTTCAGGAAGGGGACAACAGGTTCCATAAAAACAGGAATGATTCATTCTGCTGCTGACAAAATTAGAAATAAAGTAATAATGGTAATAATAATAATAATAATAATCATTATAATCCTTGCACTAGATACTAATTAGTAAATAATTACCATAGCAACTTCTCTTTTTTATCTTTTTCTGGGTTTTTTTTTTCCCCCTAACCACTCTGAATTGCATATCCGGCCCCCTCATATTGCAAAGGGGTGGAAACGGGGGTGTTACATTGTGAATTGAAAATTAACTCCGATCCTACGTTCCCCACTGTCCTACAGCTATTCCCCACACAGGCTCAGTGGGACTGCCTTGGGGAAGGAAGGGGATGTTACATGTGTTCCTGCTTAGCACCCAGAGTACCTGCTTTCCAGATGCACACCTCTTAAACTCTGATTTTCTTGGTTTTGTTTTTTTTACAAGTAGGTCTAGGAAACAGAACAATGACAGGAGGATCATTGTGAGACAATCGATATGCAGAATTGTAGCCAAAATCTGAATTCACCAGAAACCAATAAGCTGAAATAGCCACAACCAACTGTCCATAGCCTTGTCTAGAATGGCTTTAAACAAAAAATATAAAGAGCCATGGACAGTCTCCTTACCCCTGTCCAGAATTTGATGTAAACAACATCCATAGAAACTGGGATTGTTAAGAAAGTTTATCCATATATCTGGATAGCAATAAAAAGCGTTTCCTAGGAAACTGTAAAATCCTGTACCAAGCAGTGTACAGCCAAGCCGAGAGGAACATTAGGTTGATTTATATTTTCAAGGTACAACTTTGCATGATTTCTTTTAGATCCTGTGATAATGTACAAGGAGAGCACGTGTGAAGGTCAGGGCTGGTTTTTTTTGTTTGTTTGTTTGTTTGCTTGCTTGCTTCTCTAAAATGTCTCTTGCGTAACTCATTGGTCTGGGTTTTCATTTCAATTCTCTTTTGTAATAACAGGGCATTACCGCTCCCTGCGTCTGTCCTTCCTGTTCACACCAAGGCTGCATCAGTAATTTCCTTCTGCTGCCAAAGAAACAACGGTTTCGTGTCTTCCCATTTCTTCAAGAACTGCCGCCAGCATGCTCAGGTTGCCGTCAGGGAAATTCTGGGCTTCCCAGAGATCCAGGATCACCCCGGTAGGACTCGATTTTGTAGCAAAATAATTTAGGTACCTGCAACAAGCCAAAAGCAAACTCGTTTTTTGAGCTGCATGAAGGCTACCTGAATTTATATGATTTCAGCCCATTCCCATTGTCAAGGTGCGCATCTCCTGTGCGGTCAGACTGACCAGTCTGTAGACACATCTGCTGTCAATCATCTTCACCGGGACCCTTTTGCACATCCCTCCCGGGGACCTTTGCCTCCCGACCAGACGTAGGCAGCCCCGCTCACCTGTCCAGTTGCAGCTTGTGGGCCAGCATCCGCCAGTCGTGGCCCCTCGTCTGGGGCGCGTCCAGGCTGCTGCACAGCTTCTGCCTTATTGGGAGGGGGATGCTGAAAGCGCTGGGCCCCACTATGGTGGTGATGGTGCCTGCTGAGTCCATGGGAGGATAATCGATGCCAGTAGGTTCCTGAGGTTGGAAAGAAAGCAAAAGAAATATAAAAATACAGCATTTTTGTTACTGAGTGCAGAGACGATGGTAGAAGTGTATCCTCTGAGACTCAGTGCTTTTACTCGCATTGGAGGGGAGCAGCCCTCTGCTAATCAAGCGTTTATGTTAGTCAGCTGAAAAAGAGAAATATTTATAACTGACTTTGGCTACACAGCAGATTTTTTTTTTTTCTTTTTTTTTGAGGGTGAAGGTTACTATGGCTGGACAAAATTGAGCCCAGCTTAATTAATCACTTACTGAAAATAGTGAAAGATCAGGCACTTTGACACATTTAAGAGCAAATTGCTACTACTAGGGCAGAACTGGGCTTTCCCGGCTTGGCTGGCAGGACCCCCTTCCCAGCAGCCCTCCAAGCCCCCCACCCCACACGGAGCCAACACTGGGCTCACGCTGCTGACATCCCTCTGGCAGCACCCACGCTCTCCGAAGCCTCTGATGCCAGCCAGACCACGGAGAAACAGTTAATACCGCCCCAGGCACAAGCTGATCCCTCATTTTCATGCGGCTTTAACTCTGTGCTGGAGATAGATGGAGCGTGTGTGCTCAGGGGCAGCCGTCGCCCTCCTCCCCAAAACCAGCGCTGCGCTCAAAGGCGGTGGCAGCAGCGTTTCAAGTGGAAAGTCACCTCCAAAGCCAGCCTGTCCCCCGCGCGTATGGGGGTTGATGCTCTCTGATGCGGTCCTCCCAGCTGGGAGGCTTCCCGTGACACAGCTGTAATGTGGCCCCGCTGGGAATAACAAGTGGTTGGCTCTTCTGGGCAAGGATTTTATTTCTTCCTTGGCCTGGAAGGATTTAGCACCCACAGGTAGGTAGAAAGAGGAGCTCAGTAGCTGGTAGGACAAGGGTAGCTGGTCTATGTGGATGGTTGGGTTTGCTTAGGAATGACAAGGTCTGCAGGGCAGCTGAAAGCCTTGCCAAACCCCATCGACGCCGGCTGGCTGCCCGACCATACAGCAGGGACACTCCTCCCACGCACTTGTCCCCTCCAGCTACCAAAGCACGTGGTGGAAAAAGCAACAAGCAGGGCTGGGTCTCCTTTCATGCCTCTCACCCGCCTTCTCAATTGCTCTCCTTCGCAGCACGACAGACCTGAGGCCGGGCTGGCAGAAACGGTGCAGCTGCTCCATCTCAGCCTCTGCCCAAGTCACAGCCCCAGGCAGCCAGGAACACCCGTGCAAAAGACTCGTCGTTAAATGTCAATTTGTTTTCTCCTCTGTGAGCTGTCTTGTTGCTTTGCGTCAAGCTGGCTGTTGGGAAGGCCCTGTAAAACCTGAAACTGTCTCAAACCCAGGTAACGTCTGGCTTAAGCTGCCATCGCAAGTCCCCCAGGAAGCTTGTTGGAGATGCTCACAGTCATGCGCAGTCTTTGGTTTCCCCCCAAAACATGTGCGCAGAAATGGAAAGGGGAGAGCCAGTATCCGTGAGCAATGAACAGAATTAAACCTCTTTTGCCTCCACTCTTTTATCCACACCAATTAATTCTCTTCCACTCTATAAATATGCCTTTTTTTGCTTTTTTTTTTTTTTTTTTTTTAGAAATGGCATTTTAGGCAACCAGTGAAATGTCTGACCAAGGAAGGTTTATGCCACTGTAATGTCTTCAGTTAACATGCCCAAAGCAGTGCCAAAGCCAGGCATCGCAGACCAGCCACCCCAACCCCACTGCTTCAGGCAACGAGCTACTGTCCTCTAACTGCCTGGCAGCGGGGGCTGCCCGGGAGCCGGCAAAACGACTCGTGTGGCACCGCTGCTGCCAGCAGGCTCACCCGCGCTGGCAGGTCAGAAGCGGCTGTAGGGTGGTGACTGCTGGCATCGCAGAGGGACAACCTTCCCTTTTTATTCTGGGCCAAGGGACGCAAGCGATACATTGAGGCAGCGCTGCCCCGGCTCTCGAGGTGTCCTGCTGCCCCAGGTGCTTCAGGATGGCTGCAGAGGGAGCCCAGGTACCCGTGGCGGTGCCCTGGGGCTCTTTCGGGTGAGTACCGACAGCGCAAGATAAAAAAGGGGCTTCAAAAACAAACGGCAGGAGACCTTTCTCTCGCTCTTCCTCTTGCCTCACAAATTTGCATGTTTTGGCATTCATTGCATTTGTATTGTTGAAGTCCCAGTGGAAGACACTGTATAAAGCCAGAATAAGACAGGTTAATCTGCAGAAGTTTTACATCCTTTACAGGAGACAAAAAAGAAAGCCCATAAAGGGAGGATGCAAGAAACTGGGTTACTATATTTTTACCACAGGGTGACAGAGGCAGAGAGGCAGAGCCAGCAACCCAGAAAGGTGTCAGCATGGTCCTGCAATGCCTAACCGCTAGCTGCCTGCCTCCCCTAAAAGAAGGGAATAATGTGTGCAATTTGAAATCACCAGAAGCAAACCAAACCAGACACCATCTGAAAGCAGAGACCAAAACACACCCTTACATGACCTAGTTAGTCACCAGAAGAAAGTGTGAGGAACCACAGCTAAGGTTTCCTGATGCCTGGTCTGGTGTCTTTATCATCACAACCCCTTTCTCTTATTGCCTCTAGAGGCATACACATCAGTTTCCAGGTCGCTGTTATTACACTTGCAGGTAACTTTTGTCATCAAACCAGATGAGTTTTAGGGTTTTTTTCTAGTAACAAAGTTGACACAATCCTGTATGCCAGCCCCTAGCAGCCCAAGGTCCTCCTGTCCCTCACTTGGGCTCAGGAACATCGCTACATGTCACCCAAGAGGAGCAATTTTGCAGTAGGCAGCCTTGATAGCGGCCGTATTATTCCCTCCCTCTATTCATCCCTGATGGATGGGATCGCAGCACAAGACAAGAATATTATCCTGTTCCCTCTGAATCCATTACCAGGCCCTATTACACACAAGCAGCTGAAGATGATTATAGTGTATACTTGCATTTCATTAAAGTTACTCTCAGTTCTTTCTCTTCTCTGTGAGGTTAAATTAGAGATTACCTCAATGCAGCACTTATTACAATAATTGTTTATGATACTTGTTTTACCATCTGTCTTTAATGCCATGTAGTCCCCAGATGAACATGTAACTTTACACCCAATAACCAAGCAGATGTTATGGGTAATGGTGCACGCCGTCGGGGCCCTACAGCGCAAGTAACTTTTGTCTGTGATCTCCCAGCCCTTCTCCAAGTCAGCCAGCAGCAATTGCTGCCCAAGAGCCTGCTCTTCGTAGCCGCTGAGGGTACCAGGCACAAAAGCCACCAGCACATTCACAGAAGTCAATGCCACTTCACACCTGAACATGTCGCTTGGTCTCAGCCCTAAGCTTGACTGCCCCAAGGAGCGAAAATTCTCCAGGTGTTACGTAGCATCAGCAAAGAAGTTCCAAAACTTATGATTGTTTTTCTACTGGAAAATGTCAGCCATCAAAAGAAAAATTGTCGAAGATAATAGTCAGGATTTGTAGCAGTAGCAAAATCTGAGGAGAAACATCTATAGAAACATCTATAGAAACTAGAAACATCTAGACCATCTGATATTCCCTCTTGCACAGCAGGTATTACGTGGGATGAGAGTGGAGTGGCTCATGCAAACATATGGCAATGACATTTTCCTATTCTCCTTCCTCCCTCTCCAGGGAAATGTTGGGCATCACGGTCTTGTGGTCTGCCAGGAAACAGGACCATGCAGTGCTTTGTGAAATGCATTAGGGAGTGGTAGGCAAGGAGCTCCTCCACATAAACACAGAAAGGCAGCACTAGCAGGGAGACCATAGCTGCCCTCCTCCCTCCCTTGAAGGGGGCCTGCTCCCTTCCAGATGAGAGAAACTAAGGGAAAATGCAACAGGAGATACAAAGCAATGACTTAGTCCATCCCTTATGTCTATCCTAGCAGTCAGGAGGAAAATGGGAAGCACTAAACAGGTAGCAATGGGAAAGGATATACCTCCTTAGCCCTCCCATGTTCCTGCAGTCGGATAGAAGATAGATGTCATTTACCTCGGAGATGGAGCAGTTGAGCTGGAAGATCTGCCCTTCTCCTTCGACCTGCCGCACGCAGAGTTTGCACACCAGCTCCAGGGTATTCAGGCTGAACCTTTCCAGTGTGAAGGTGCAGTGCAGGTTCCTCTGGCATCCACTCCAGATGTGGTAAAAGGGAATCTCCTGCAAGAGAAAAGCAAAAAAAAGTATAGTAAGGGAGGGATGCGGGACCAGGGCACAGACGCTATATGACCAGAGACCGTGGGCTCCATGGTAATGTCACTGCAAATGGTCCAGGGAAAAAAAAGTCCATGGCACTGCAGCCTGGCACCGGGTGTTTTTTAAACACCCCTGTGCATCACTATATCTCTTTAAGCCTCACTGCTAGGATCCAATGTGAACCGTTTGTGCTGCTCACCTGGTATTTAGCCAGCAGTTTGCTTTTCCAGAAAGAGTGGGCAATGTCATGAATGGACAGGCGGAGGTTGTGGGTGCTTCCCTTAAAATGTAAAGCTTTGGGTTCCTCCAAAAGCTGCCCGCCCATCTGCCGCTCCAGCTGGAGGACCTCCTGCAGTATGGTGATAAGAAGAAAGCGGTCAGGTTTCATCAAGCCAGCACACTGGTCTTCTGATTCCTCAAGATTGACTGCTGTAGACGCTGTAACTTGTATAATACAGAAAAAAAAATGCACAGACATTGCACAGACTTGTGTTTCCCTGTGAATTGGAATTGCACTAGTGGATCTGAGTATACCCGCCCTCACCCCCATCATTCAGCAGCAGCCCAGCAGGGATGCAGGCACCCATGTCTTCTTTGGGAGACACAGCATTATCTGACATGTCCTATAAGCAAAGAGCTTAACTGTATGTAATTATATTGAATGCAAAGACTTTGCATACAGGCACTGTTTGAATACTGAAATATATCAGTCTTCTCCATCACTCACCAAACTGGACATCTAATGATAGCTTTACTATTTTGCTTTTGGAAGCTCTTATTTGCGTAGGATCTGCTGA